ACATGGAGCTTGGTCAACTTGGTACAATAGTCTTTTAAGTTTCCTCACCTTGTTGATTTTAGAGCCAAAAAAACTAGAAGTACACAAGCATGTAGCGGTTCTATCTGGCTGCATGCCTGTGAACTTCCAGCTTCCGGACTCCAATATTAGCCCAGTTACAGGGCTTACATGGAGCTTGGTCAACTTGGTGCAACAGTCTTTTAAGTTTACTCATTTTGTTGATTTCAGAGCCGTAAAACTAGAAGTGCACAGACATGGAGCTGTTCTATCTGGCTACATCCATGTGAACTTCCAACTTTCGAACTAAACCGCTAAACCCAAACAAATGTACTTTATAAAAGTCTTGCAAAAATGCGACCAGCTACGATGAATAACTGACAACAAGTGAAGTGCAATGAAGGCAAGCAGTGTCATGACGCAATAAATGATAATTATATGCATGTGACCTACATTCAAGAAATTGACAGTTTCTGTGTCTGTGAATTAAGTTTTGAAGGACATTTGGTCCACATTTATGAAATAAAATGCACTGAAGACGATGATAATGCCTAAATGACTCCCCAGAGCCCCGCTTGGCCGTGAAAAATCTATCATTTTTTTTTTGCCCTAACTAACTTTACGGGAAGTAACTCATTTGTTTACATTTTTTCGACAATTAAAGGTGTCTAAAACTGAAATTTTTTTATTGCATTTTTGAAATCCCAAGTGTATTCTGTCCTAGAAAAAATGTCTGAAAACCCCTGAAAAAGCTTTTTCTGGCGCCAAAAAAATAAAAGTCCAAAAAACTCTTCTCCTGCAATAAAATAAACAAGTCTACCTAAAGTCTGTCCCACGGTTAAATCTCCGTTAAAGTTCGATTTCATTTGTACATGCGGAAAGTCAATTCACTCCTCTATCCGATCAGTAAAGTTCCAAATCCCTAAAGTCACTCAAACTACCCGGTTGCCGCGCTTTTCTACTTGTTGCACACACTTAGTTACTAAAACAAGATGGCCGCCGATTGGTGGCATATCAAAATTTGAAGAACTAAAGTGCCCATTGCCATTACATATATCCCATTCAAAGTCTACTTTTTGCATTTGGAAAATCGTAAGGTCTAACCGCTAAGCCCACCTGAATTCAGTGTCCAAAAAAACCTGTCCAGACCATTAGAACTATGTAAATTGTCCCTAAAAACTCCAGGCTCGGGGGGTATATCAAGTTTCTTAGAGGTAAATAGAAGAAAAAGCATATACCCTACCATTTGAGATTTGTTTGTTTGTTTGAAACATGGATGTGAGAAGGGAAGTAGGTGATAAGGGGAAAAAAAAGAGAGGAGGGAGGAGAGAAGGAGACAGAGGAGGGCCGAGAGGGCGAGGAGTATGAATGTTATTGGTAGTGTGGAGGAAGATGTGGAGGGAGAGGAGTGGTTGAGCAAGGAGGAGGCGAGGGAAAGAATGAAGGCGAAGAGGGGGTTAAGGAGGAGGATTCGGGCTTGGATAGAAGATGTGGAGCGAGAGGAGAGGTTGAGGAGGCAGGAGGAGGCGAGGGAAAGAATGGAGGCAAAGAGGGAGGAGAGGAGGAGGAGGATTCAGACTTGGATTGACGACGTTGAGAAAGAGAGAGTGGGAGAAGGTGAAGAAGAAGAAGACATTTATTGTTGTATCATTACATAAATAATTATGAATAAAAAGTTTGAAATGTAGTGTGTTTTTTTTTTATAAAAGTAAAAGTCGAAATTGTGCATGATATGTGGGGAATAAACTACTGAAGCGATCCGATTGAAACTTGGTAGAGTGATAGACAAATAGTTCCCGTCAATAGCAAAAATAACGGCATCTCAATCGAAGCTTTATTTGCCGAGATGTAAGCTTAGAAAGTGGAAAATTCAATGTAGCATGCTGCCTAAGCTCCGCGTAATCTCAGTCTAACTTCACGGACGGTCAGCCAGATGGTAGAGCTACCTGCCTGTCAAATTTCAATTCTTCGGACTTGGTCAAAATGTAGAGAAAATCACGTAGTTCTAACGACTGGGGAAGGTTATTTATTATAACCTTCATATAATATGGCAAACAATGTCCTGAAAACCTTTTTGTCCAAAATACCTTTGTTTCATAAAAAAAAACTTGACAAGTTGATTTTTCAGTCATTTTTCAAGATTTTCTAATGAATTTTTAACAGCTAACTCGTTTCCATCATGTCCAACTGCACCTAAAAAATCAGCAGGTTTCTATGTTTTTCCTAGCAGCCCTAGTGCTTTGAAAGTGTTAGAACTCTCCAAATTTACTCAATAACTCATTCGAGGTCAAATCGCTCAAATTTCCTAATTTCAGAGAAAACTTGTTATTAGATGATGGGGCTCGTTAAAATGCAAGTGAGAGTGCAATTGTCGCATCTCTAAGTTGATTTTTGGCTGAGAAATAAATCAAAAATTTGTTTATTGCAAATGGTGTCCAAAAAACCATGTTTGTTTCTTGTGTAAACTGACGTTTTTGGCAAAGATAGGGTATTTGCCATTTAAAAAATCACCAAAATATTGTCGGACAATGTCCTCTTCTTCCATGCTCATCCGTTTCCTGCCACTAACCTTATGTCCATCAAAAACAGGTGAGGCCTTCTGTGTAACAGCACGTCTTAGTGTTGGATTCAAGGATTGAGAGGATGGATCAGAGGAGGAGCAAGGAGGAGGAGAAGGTGGTTGAGTGGGTGCCGAGGAGGGTGAGGGCGCTGTCAGTGGTGAAAAAAATGCGAATTGCCGTGTCGGTGAGGGGGAACTCTGACATATTTCAGGTGTGGCATCACTAGTAAAAAAAGGAGCCTCTCCCTCTTCGGAATCCGAGGACAATATCAACTTCCTTTTCTTGATTCGCTGAACAAGGGGGCTGTCCTCTTCGGGAGTCATTCTTATTAAATTTGCCCTAGCTGGGGAGTC